GTGTGGTTAGTAAATTCCATAGCCATACTGTTCATAGCGCACACTAAACTATGTGCTGATGGAGCATTTTGGGGAAATTGACCCTCCTTTTTTCCATCCCAAACAAAATATTATTAATAAATCAACATGGTCTATCTCAGTCATCATAGCCAGTCAAAAAATTAGGCTAGGAAGTTTGTTTTCAACAGCAGACACACAAACTACCGAACGAAGTGCTTCAAAACGAGTGTTTGTTAATTTTTAGTGGTAAAGAATCATGAAACGTTGTAGAATAACTGACTTTTTTTCGTCCGCTGTTGCAAAGAAGAAAACAACAGACAGTCCTTTAAGGTGGGTTATTGATTTCAAAATCAATTAACCTAGCCTAGATGTTGACTAGCTTCGCTCCTCGTTCCTTTAGGGACAGAATTATACACCCCGAACAGAAACTAGTGTAGGCCAAGGCCTAAGTACAGTAGGACGTACTACAGGTACTAGGCCTAGGCTTTTGTTGTAAAAGTTGAACAGGATGGATTTAAAAAAATACATTTTGGTAATTATTATTGATTGGCCTGGGACCTAGGCAGGCAGGCAGGCCAGCTTACCGTCGAAAGTCCTGGGATTCGACGATGACGTCAGTGCACATTTACAAACGCCATTGATTAGAATGAAAATAGACGCGCTAAATTTCGGGGGTTTTTTTGTAAGAAAGATAGAATTTATCGAACATTTATCTATATAAAAACAAGATTAATATAGTAGAAATTGTACTTCTAAAGATGCATATAATTCATATTTCATTTGGTAGACAATAAATAATGTGCATCAAATCTCAGCTATTATTAATCAGTATGTATTATGTTAAAGTCTTAAAATAATAATTTCAAATTAGGCCTAGTATATAAAGTTTAGTTTCTCATGATGTCAGATGACGTATTGAATGTGATGCTATATTTTGGGCTCTGACTTAATTTAACGATGGCCCTGTCAGTAATGACAATATTTGTGCTTTTTTTTAGCCATGTAGTCCTATTATTTTCTGTGTACAAAAGAGTCAAGAAGTAGTAGAAGAAGAAGAATAGGAAGAGGAGGAAGAAGAAGAATAGCTTTTTTTTGTTTTATAATAATAGATGTGTTGAGTATATTGATATTGATTATGCGATGAGGTTTCTTTTTTATATATTTCAGTGTGATTTAAACATGTCAATTCTCAGAAAATATTTTCTAATTTTATTATATTACCACCTTTTTATTACATAGATCTTTTTCAAAACATAACTGCTTTTATAACATTATATAGACCCATTAAACACAAAAAACTGCTCTGGCTGACCCCACCGTGGCCCTTAAGCAGGCCCCTGGACCCCACGCCCAGAGAACCCCCC